TCACTCTCCCCCTATTCAAGGGTCATGCTCGTCATTGTTATGTCACATTCGCAATTTTAGTTGAAGGACTTGACTTTAAAGCCTCCTTGATAGCAAAGGAAAGTTCTGTTTTAGCTGTGTTTAATTAACTTGGAAGTCTCTTACGGTGCTTCCCTTCCCGGTTGACGATGTTTTTACGCTTCTTCTGTTGAGCTTGTGAACTCCCACTTATCTCCATGTTTCTGTTTAAACGATGCTTGTTGTTTTAACTTTCTCATTTGCTTGATCATGATGTGGGTCATAGTCTCATAGAATTTGTTTGTTTGGCTCCGAATAGCCTTTGGTGTCCTTCCCGTGTGGAGACAACTATCGTTTAAGTTCGGATAAAATCTAAGCATGAAATAGGAGAATACGTGCTATGTTGAAGAGGCCATTCCAAAGGGGTATGCCCAATAATCTTGGTCCATCTAGATCTAGTCCGGATAAAGTTATCAGTGTCTATATTTCATATTTTCATGCTAAAGCATGCAAACCAATTTGCAAACAACCATCACTCAAATCACATTTTTTAATCTTAGTGTATGGTCACGCATGCAACACATAGAGATCCAGAACCAGCATCCTATAAGCCCTGCGTTTGAGAGTTCAACCAAATTCCGACGAAATATTATATCATGGTTATGGAATATTTATAAAAACAAATTCATGAATGATTTGTGTAAATATCTAATATGCATCAATAGATCAAGAATATATAATAAGCTGATAAATTAGCACTAGCTATGAGATAGGAATTCTTACAATGATATAAATATTATTCTTAAGTTTCACTTGTCACTATAGAGAATGCATTGAAATTTGAAAGTAAATCTATACTATTAATTGGGAAACACTCAAACATAAATAACCTTATAAAGTGTAAAATATTACAAAAAATGCCATTGGTTTTTGTTTTTAAAGAAATTCATTAAAGATACAATAATAATCACAAAATAATATATTTAAATAAAAAATAGTAAAATTCTTTAAAGTAATTATTAGTTTCCAAAAAATTAAATTCACTTTCTCTCTCATATTAATTATGGACGAAAATTTAATTTTTTTTTCTAAAAAGTTGTTAACCAATGAGAATTAAAAAAACTAAGATTTGATATCCAACTAAAATTTTATCTAAAGTTCTAAACTAATATTAAATACAAATATTTAAGACTCAGTTTTGTTATAATATTTTCACAAATTTTGAAATATAAAACAAAATTTTATTTCAAAATTTCTAAAAAAACGATATTAGATATTAACAAATATTTATATTTACTATGAAATAAACTAAAATAATGATAAATTTAAAGTAATTATCATTATGGAATTCGTTTAGAGCAAGTTTCGGAAATATCTAAACAAAAGATTGTACATATTAATTTTGAAATATTTTGTGTTTTTTTTTTTCTTCTCAACCGGATCTTCCTTAAACAAATCCATAGTATATTGCACACAGTTTTCGAAAAAATGGATAGCTAAATACATGTTCTGACTACATTCTTCCTGTGTGGTTCATAGATGTTGATGGCAAGGTTGTCAACGTGAGAGAGTTGAGTTTTGTTCCTTTCGTTGGTAATTCTCAAAGAGGATATTTTGAGCTGTACTTTGGTTTACGTGACACTCAGTGAGTCACTATCTTTTTCTTATAGTTATACCAGAATATAGAGTCTCATGACTTCTTTAACCCTTTAAATTAGGTGTATCCATCTAGAGTGTCGTTTGACGGGTGACCTTGCAGTCGAGTTTTACGATTTATGGAAGAATCGTTCGGATAACACAGTGATATGTATTAACAAGTTTGTGAAAATAGAGCTATCACGGGAACATAGGTGGAGATGTACCAACATTATTGGATGTACGAGGGTTACGTTGAATCCAGATCTCAGTATTACCGATGAGATGCTTTGTTGGTAATTACTTTTTATCTTTTTAGTCGTCTACAATCAAAACTCTAAAATTTGCGACTGAACGTTAACTGATTCTGATGTTATAAACCGGGTGTCAGGAATCCTGAAAACGACGAAGTACCTATCGTCACACGCAAAAAGAATGTCATGGAGTGATGATGTTCGTTGTTTTTTTTTTATTATCTTGGGATTTTTCTTTTGTTTTTTTTTATTTAAAATGATTATCGTCTTATTTTCTTGCCATTAATAACATTCTCTTATCTAGCAGGATTTTACCTTTTATACGCAATAATTCCCGCGCAAGCAACAACCTAGTATATATATATATATCACATTTACTCAAAAGTCCAAAGTTTGTTTTATTTGAGGTTGCATTGCATTTCATGGATGAAATGATTGTTTTGGCACGTGGAGTCATGGACAACAACGGCTCCACAATTCGGAAAAATGGCCATTTTCGACCCGGACAGTTTTAATAATGCGTTTTTTCAACCTGAACAATCGATGAGTGCTAATTTATACCTAAACACTTAAATTTTTCAAAAAACCTACCTGAACTTTTGATTAAGTGCATAATTATGAGTTAATGTTAACAGATGTTAGTCAACTAAAACGGATGTTGACTCAGCTGACACGTGTATGTCGACGTGGCATGTTCTTCACATAAAATGACGTTGTTTTACGGTTTGAATTGCTGCTGATTTCTTGTGCCTTTTGATTGATCTGATCGAATCTCGGCATAATTTGGATCCTCCCATTATAACATCAATCCTTTTCTTAGGAGTGTTTGGAGTTCCGGGCCCGTTGGGCTTATGTTTCTTTTCAGGAGGATTAGACGCTTCGGAATCTTCTTTTTCTTTATGATAAGATTCCACAAACTCCTCGATATTGAAATTAGCGAGCTCTCCGGCCGCCCACAGTTCGGTGAGGTGCTTTTTGAGTACGCTGCAATCTTTGGTGGAATGCCCATTTACTCTAAGAATATCGCAATAGGCACTCTCATCTCTAACCCATGTATTAGGAGAATTATATCTTCCTTTGTTTGGAGAGGGTTTTCCCACGGCATTAGTAGCAGGATTAACTCCGAACCGTTTTTGATCTTTTGGTTCGAACTTTTTAGTTGGATTTCCAATGACCAATTTTGCTGGCCGATGCTTTTTAGCGAGGCTAAGCTTTTCTTCTTCTGCCTCCATCCAATTAGTAGCTCTAAATAAAGCGTCTTGGATGGTGCTCGGACGATTGACAATGATTTCTTCTCGGAATCGAGATTCATGCCAGAGTCCGTTTCTTAGAGCAGAAAGGGCAGCAGCGTGCGATACCCCAGGAATTTTGGCTATCACGTCTTTGAATTTAGCGATATATTTGCGAAGTGGTTCGTTCTGACATTGGGTTAAATTCCAAAAATCTGCATCAGAGGTTGCCTTTTCCATGAACATGGAATACTGTTTTAGGAATGCGGAGGACAATTCCTTTAAACTATCAATGGATTCAGGCTCCAACTGAGTGAACCATAATAAAGCCGATCCGGATAGATTCTCGGAGAATAGTTTGCAATATCCGGCATCCTCCTCGTTTGATTCTAGATCAATTCTGCCAGCAGCGATCTGAAAAGCAGCGAGGTGATTTTGGGATCACCTTTACCATCGTAAGTTGGTAATTTGACCTTTCGAGAATCTTTGATCCGAAGGTTTGAGATTCTCGAAGTGAAGGGTGTTCGTCGAGTTTCTTCGATTACTCGATCGATCTCAGGCGCCGAACTGGTCGCCTGATGAAACTTCGACTTCATTTCATCAAACTCTTGACGAACTCTGACGAAATCATCTGAGAGGATGACATCAGGATCTTCCATAAGGAGTCCTTCGTCAACAGCAAGATTTCCCTGATTTTGGGGGTTTTCATCACCGGTTGGGTTGGACCCATCTCCTACGGTTGTCTGATTGCTAGTACTAGCAGGACGGCCTACAGGAGGAGTTTGAGTGCTCCCGGTCCTGTTTTGTGCGGGTGTCTGGAATAGCCTGCGCGGAAACGTTGTTCGCGCTGAAGACAAAATATCTAAACGGCTCGAAATCGTATTCTGTGCGTTTGACAAATTTGTCTGGGTGGTTTGAACACTCGTTAAAGTTTGCTCAATTGAGTTTAACCTTTCACCAAAAGTGGTGTTGGTACTAGCGAGTGTACCCATGTGATTGGTCAGATCGGTAGTGGTCTGAGTAAGCAAGGTAATTGCGTTGCTCAAAGCTTGCCGATCAGACATAGTTTCTTGGTTTGAGAAAGAGAGATTTTGAGATTAAAGAGTTTTGTGGTAACTCCTCACAGGCGGCGCCAAAATGTGGATGTAGGATTCACACTCGATTGTCTTTAAGTATTTTTGTGGAGAAAAACTCTAAAATCGACAAATGAAAATAAGGATTCGAAAAGGAAAGTAACCAAGAAACTAAATTAAGCGAAAGAATTTGGTAAGAATAAAATAGTAAAAAGCCTTGCGAAATTATGAAAGGAAAAGTATGTTGTATTGCTAGAGATTAAGAGGTAAAAAGATTGTCCTCCTCAAACACATGCGTTTGAGGTAGTTTTTATAGAGAAAAACATGATTAATGCGGCTATTTACTACTCGTAATCATATTGATCCGCATTAATCACGTGGGCCTTCCGAACTCTTTCTTGCTGACCGAAACGGCTCGAATTTGAATCTTGTCTTGGGCTTCGCGTGGGCCTTCCGAACTCTTTTTTGCTGACTCCGAACTCCCGTGCCTTGATGCTACCGCGAACCTTGAACAATATTCTCCTCGCTTCGGTCTTTCTCTACGCGAACTGTATGTTGAATAAGAGCGAACTCCGTACTACCGAAAGTGTGTGGGATCCGACCCCAACAATCTCCATTCGTGTCCTTAAAAGTGCTTTGATATTCCAAACATATCTCTTAAAACAATTCAATTGACCATTAAAGAATTGAATAGAAATGTTTAAGCATAATCCAACAACAAAACTCCAAAAAAGATAACAAAATCCTAACATAACTCTTCTCTTAAAACGATTACACCGCCCACTCCAACACAAACTTGTACGACCTTGGAAATTTAATTTAAAACTTTATCTTTCTCAACATCAAGCCCTTGGTCTCCTACGGCATACACAAAAGGTCCTAAAGCTTGTCTCTTAGGAGGTGGTTGGTTCCCTTCGACTAGGAACGTAGTGCACTCCCGTGCATAATGGCCCGGTTTCCCACACTTCCTACAATTATCATTACCCTTCGGACAATTCTCCCTAATATGACCAACTTCACCACACTGAAAACACTTGCCTGAATCCATCCAACAAACTCCTCCATGTTGCCTATTACACCTGGTACACTTGGGGTAACGGTTATGACTTGGTCCTGCATCACGGTTATCCCATGTACGTTTATGAGGTGCAGCAACTCCAGGTGGTGGTGGCTGATGGTGCTGAGGTGCAGCAACTCCAGGTGCAGCAACTCCAGGTGCAGCAACTCCAGGTGCAGCAACTCCAGGTGCTGGTGGTGGTGGGGGTGCATACATTGGTCGATCAAAAATCTCACGCATCATGTTATGGAGCTCCTGCATCTCTGCACGATTTGCTGCAATCGCTGCTACCTGAGCTTCTGCAGGTATCCCACCTACAGGTGGTTGATCTTGCCCAACAGCTGGTGCATCCCCTACTTGGTTCCTTCTGGTGTTTGCACGACGTCCCACTGCTCTTCTCTTTGGTGCCATTCTCTGTTTACACAAGATCAAACATAAGAACCATTTCGAAACTGGAACTTTATAAAACGACTATAACGCAAGTCTCGCTCTTCTGGTGTGGTTTTTTTTTTTTTTTGAAAATCCCCTCCTTTTTATTAAATAAAGAAAACATTTTTTTATATATATAAAACATTTTTTTTTTGAAAAATATATAACTTAAGAAAACTTTTTTTTTAAACACTTTTTTTTTTTTTACTATTTCTATTTTCAAACTTAGCCTTCCGGGTCAGAACCGGCTTGACTTTAACCTCCGCTCTGATACCATTTGTCGCACGCCGTCTTAATGTTGAGGGAGACAGGTGTGACAATGTGGAATTTGCCTAAGTAGAACAAATTCTTAAAGTAATATAGAGCCAAACTTTTGACCTTGAAGCACAAGAGACTCTAAGAAGTTATATTCGAAGCAGGTCTTCTGCAACGGTTTTAATCAAATGGACTCATGAAACTGTGGAGGAAACTATATGAATTGAAGTATGAAGAAATGTAGAGGGTTCTTTGTTTTGTAGAGAAAATTTCCAAAGTTTTGAACCTTGTGTCAAGGTTCTTCGAAGAGGGGTAATTTGATACATGAACTGAAGTAGGAAGAAAAGAAGAAATGAAGTAACAAAACTAGAACGTGTGGCACGTGAAGAGTAGTGAGCTGTGGTACATGTAGAGGGAAACGATTGGAGCTGTTTTCCTCCTTTTAAAAGGAAATGATTGTCTTCTTCTTCAATAGGCTACAAATTATGGACTTGTTCTTATTGTTTCATCTTGAACTCTTGCTGATGAGACGACGAATTGGTGTTTTATGAACGTCGATTTGTTTATCTGTGTTCCGGTTTTGATTTCATATCTTTGAGATTGGGTTATCGTTATCAAATTATGTTGTGACTAAAACGTAATGTATGTTCATTGTTGTTTCTAGATCGGTCAAACACAAGAAAATCAATTTATTGCGCCGCAAGTAGGTAATGGTGACTAACAAATTTGTCAGTCTAGTGAAGGTGAATTATTATCAAACTATTAGCACTAAATCTTTGACTTGGCGAAATAAGTGAAAAGTTTCTTCTAATTTCACAGATATGCAAAATTTATTAAGATGTGACACTCAGGATCCAGTTGAAAATAAAGAAAAATTAGAAAGGGTGAAGAACGAACTCTCGTCACCTCGGTACTCTATAAAACATCCAAGATATCTCAATTAGTAAAGACTTTGTTCCTCTTCATCTCCACTTAAGATAAATCAAGGCTAGATAAATCATTGAATTGCGATGTCCTCTTCAAACACTCCATCGCCCAAAGCAAAGAATCAATCTCCACGTGGAGCGGTGAGAGGCTCCTTCTCGAGCTCATTAAGCCAAGCTGGAGAATACGGTCCGGGTTGACTAAAACCCAACCATGTCCACTTAGAGAGTCCTCCGAGTGCCAGGAAGCATCAATCTGACATTCCGAGATCCTGGGGAAGGACGCGGGAAGTAGAACCGACCGGGCAAGAGATTCGGGATCTGCTGCTTCTTTCATGTTTGCTATCTTCCACACAGAGGCTTCTCGTAAAGCCAAGGCAAGAGTCTCCTGAGGAGGTTCTTTGAAGTTTTCAAAGCAGAATCTGTTACGACTTTTCTAGATATACCACAATATCCATGGAAAGAGTTCCAAAGTTTCCTCTTCTATTCCGAATTCTTTCCCACGCCAGAAAAGAAAGTCGAAATTATAGAAAAGAGAGTTTCTGGGAATATTTTTTTTTTTTTTTTTGCGATGTTCTCTTCAAACACTCCATCGCCCAAAGCAAAGAATCAATCTCCACGTGGATCGGTGAGAGGCTCCTTCTCTTTTGAGTTTTTTTTTTTTTTTTTTGCCAATCAGCTCTCTTTGAGTGAATATATTTGTTTTGAACTTCCACCATAACCACACCAAAAAAAAAAACAAGACTACAGACACACATCATTGATAATCTTATGTTTATTGTTTAATTTAACACACAGGCGAAAGTAACTCAGAGCCACAAATCGCACAAGCTAGCATTACAGATTTTATCTCTTTAGACAAGAGATCTAGAAAAGGCAAAGAGAAAATCTGAAAGCCGTGGGTAATTCATTAAGACAAACCATGAGTTTCACTAGCGGAAGTGTGTAGGATTATAGCCTGAGATACCTATGCATCTCACAACTCTAGTCCCCTTTTCATTCTTAGGTAGCTCATAACCAATCAATATCTTTGGTTTTGAAGAAGTGACGGGGGGTCGCACCATCCAATCTACGTGCCTCAGGTTAGGGTAGAGTTTGCGGAAGTAGGCATCAGCAGCTGTATAGCCTTTAGTCCTGAGGATAAGATCCAGAAATACTGCAACCTCACCAGTAGTAAATGACATTTTCTTTCTCTCCTCCATCCACTCAAAGATCTACATGAAACATTCGCTTAATCAATTGGGAACAAAATCACAAAAGATAACTTTTTCGGTGAATTCTAGGTTAGATCTTGACCTCGAGGGCGTGGTGATGTTTTCCCTCCTTGTCAAGTTTCTTAGCCCAGCTAAGCAGATCTGCTTTGGTGATGGAAAAACGCTTGGATCTGAACTCATTTAATGTTTCTGCTACACCTACTTTCTCTTCTTCCTCCCACCGACGAAACAGGCGAGAGAGATAGACCTTACCTTCGTCGCCATCTGATGATTGATTCTTGATAGCAATATTTGCCAAATTAAGTGTCTCTATGGCAGATTTATTATCGCCGGTTCTCTTCAGATGAAAAGCCCAGCGAATCAGATCTGATATGGTGACGGGGTCGTGCTCCTTCTTCTCAATCCTCATCAGCTTTTTTAATGTGTACCCTATTCTTCCCTCCGGCCCAGTCAGAGATTGCAGTTTCTCCAACATGATTCTCTTCTTCTCCATCCGCACATCTTCCACTTTCGCCTTCGCAAGTACATCAAACCTGATGGATGCCGGAGCATTCTCCATTGTTCTGGCAATTTTGGGAGCATTCTCTATTGTACTGGCAATTTTGAATAGATGGCTACCAGAAGCCATGATACGGCGGAAGTTCATCATCAATCGAAACCCTTAAAGTTCACTAACCCTAATTCTTCTAACAATCGACCTCTGTTTTAATAATAACGAATTTTTTTCTCTCTCATTTTGGGCCCATTTAGACTTCTTCCGGCCCAGCCGGAAAACCGAATCCAGTGTGAAAATTCAATGTTTCAACTTTCAACCCGTGCAAACATTTTTAACACGTGGGTTTGAAGTTCGGGGGAAAACGGAACTCATTTTAATTTTAAATTTTCTACACGAACAAAACAAATCTGGCTTAGGGCTTGATTGGTTCTCCCGCTAGCACCCTCCTAGTGGTTGCTAGCGGTCGGTTGCGGTTGTTAGCGGTTGGTACCAATCATAGAAACCGCTCCGTCCCGCTTCGAACCGCTCGAAATCGCTGAATTTCAAAAGCTCCTTCCCGCAAGCGTTTGCGGTTGCGGGCGGTAGCGGTTGGATTTAAAAAAAAAAAAAAAAAAAAAAAATCAAACATTTACTTATAATTATTATAATATATATTAATCCTATATATATCTTTCATATTTGTATCACTTTGTATCACGTTCTCATCAGAAACCCTAATAATATTCTGAAACTCTATTCTCTCAATGTCTTCCACCCAAACTGATGAAAATCAATAACCAAATGTAAGTATCATATATCCTTTTATTCATTCATCACCTCATGTGTAACTTTTTGAATATTTTTCATGGCATCGTTTTTTTAATTTTTATTACGTATTGCTTTGCTTTTTGATTGAATATATGTTTCGATTTGTTTTCTCGAATAGAAACTCACTTGCTTTTTGATTGAATTCAACGTTATTTACAGTTTGTCCCATTACTTAATGCAATTTTTTATGTTAAACCAGATGCATAAAGTACTATCTTGTTACAAAATTTCTTTATTTTTGAATAATTATTTAGTACTTTATTTATGGTTTTAATTATTAAGCATGTTCAAATTTTTCTAATATTATCATAATAATATATTGGTGTTTTTATTTCTTTTTTTTTTTGTAATATTTTTTATTTATTTTGGTCATTCTTTTATTTAACTGCTATCGCACCCGCTGGTTTACCAGTCATAAAACTCCCGCAAACGCACTCATTTTCAAAAGTTAAACCAGTCGTTCAAAACGCTTGATAACGCTTAAAGCCGCAACCGCCCGCTTCCGCAAACTCCCGCAACCGCAACCGCAACCGCTGCGTTTAAACCAGTCAGGCCCTTAGTCCCTCAAATTCTCAAAACGCTGTTAACATTCATTAACATCAAACTGACTAAAATCCAACGTGGAAAAACTAAAGACTCAAACTCGAGATATTTGAAACAAACTAAAGACTCAATACCACTTGACCCGTGATAACATATTTTGTTTAAATGCAAACAAACAAATATAAAACAATACTCCTGTTGTTCCTCCTCAGCATCTCCGATCTCTTCATCACTATAAATGAATAGCAAAGCGATTCCTTTAAAGAGTTCTTCTTCAGAGCCATAAGAAACTGTCAAAGATCAAATCGTGACTAGTACTATTGGAATTTGAATTTTATTTTAAGAACATATTAATTGAATGAAGAAATTCGCTAGAATGGAACGTTTCTCGATATTAATTTGAATACTGGTACCGTAAAACATAAAATTGTAGGAATGGAGCACTATTTTCTAAATACCAAAATTACCCCCTTTTTTTTTTGCAGCGTTCCAGCAATGTTTAAGTTAGTGCTAAGGATCGCAAGTTTGGTATAGCAATAGCATACTCTGTGCAACCTCTATTCTATTATACACTACGTAAAAAAAAAACCAATATAAGCTCAACAATTTGGGCCAAATATCATCAAATTATGAGGTAGAATCCACCCAAAAGACAAAAGACCACCAAAGTCAAAATGAATCCACAACAAAATAAGAAACTCCAATGTACATAAACAAAAGACAACGATAATCTAATTTCTATTTCATGTGGTTTATTCCTGTTTCTATTTGAGTTCCACAATGCTTCTTCTTCTGTTTTTTTCTTCTTGTTCTCTTTCTTCCTCCTATCTATATTATCTTTCCCATCCTTGTGATAATCCTCATTAGCTTCATAAAAATTGAAACAACCATAATGTGAGAACATTATACAATTGGATTGTTTAAATGTTACAAAGTATTAAAGTAAATTCGTTATTATTGTTACTAGGTGAATTAAGTAGGAAATTACAAACTATATATATTTTAGATTGTTTTGAAAAAATCTACAAAATGCATCTCTTATACTTATAAGCTCATATAGTATATATTAATCAATCTATTTTTTAAACATATAAATGCATAAAACATTATGAATTACATTATTAGCTACTTAAATCAATTGTACAACTAGAAATATAAATTTTAGGGGTACGTAATACTAATGTTACTGGATTACAACAAAAGTAGAACTATGTAAAACTTGGGTACAATTACTATCGTGTGTATAACTATGTGTAAAATGGCGGCGCACATGTGGACAGAAATGACGTACAAGAGGAAAAAACAGCGCACCTGAGAAATAGAATTGAACAAAAAATTCGAAATTCACCTGAATGTTTTTGGGTTTTCCTCCAATCCCACAAATTCGAGAATTTCCCCGATTGTCATAAACTTCGAAACCCTTCTTCTCTTTATCCTTTATTTCATTCTCCTCCACTATTTTGACCTCCTCTTATCTACTTCCTCTTCTCTCGAATTCTGTATTCTTTTTAATCGATTGTGAATACTTTTCGAATTTAAGAAAAATTCGTTTTTGAATAATTTTTAGTTGTTATTTGGTTTCGACTAAGATTGTTGTCATGGAGGAGGAAGACCCATACTACAGTGAGATGAAGAGGACCAAGAAGCTAAAAGACCAATTATATGCTATAGCCGATGGTGACTATGGCATTCCTACAAGATGTCGATGTGGTGGACGCATCATCGATGAGATCTCTCAAAACGAAGCGGACAAAGGAATGAGATACTCTAAATGATATGTGTTTAAGGTGATTTTAAATTGACGGCATCGATTTTAATAGCATCATTTTTAGAATGTATGGTGCTATATATATATATATCTTTTTGTGTAGAATGATGGCTTCTACATTCGGTAAAATTGGGATAACGGTATCAAAGAAGAGGTTACTATTTTAAGGAAGGAGGTTGATAAGAATTCCAAGAGGATTCGAAGCTTCACAAACCATGATTTTCAGATACAACAAAGGCGTTTGGAGCTCTACACAATGGTCAAGAGATTGCAGATTCGAAAGCTTTATTTTTATTTTTTATTGTTAAAATCAAATGAAAAAATAGGGTATAAAAACTATATATTGAATTTTTAAATGATCCCTATCACTCTCTTTTGGTGTTAGTGCGGGGCATGCATAAACCCATCTATCAATTTTGCGAAGAGATTTGAAAAGTTGTTCAATTGTTGTTGCTCGTCTAAGTTAACTTTTTGCTGCGACATGATGGCTTCTTGCTGTCTCATGAAGGTCTCATGCTGCTTGCTGGCTTCTTGCTGTCTCATTGTAGGCTTCATCCATTCGTTTCAACATAGACTCACACATTTCAATATGTTTCGAAGCGAGTCCAAGCATCATTTCGACCAGGTTAGTGGTTTTATCTGAACTTTTAGGAGTCGTCCACTGCCAATTGCTTGTTCATCCGCTGTAGATCCGTGAAGTCATCCTCTTCCTTTCAACTGAGAATTTTCAACTCCAACGAAAATTTATGGACAAAATAGCCTGAGAAATAATGAGAGTTCTTGAAATTTTTATCGCAAAGCCTGGTCTTTTCTTAGGAAAAATGGAGAGTTAATGATTTCTATATTCAGAGATGACGTGGAGTCCGAAAAGAAAATCAGTTTGATAAAAACAAATAAAACAATATTGGGATATCTTTTTTAGAGTGTATCGCAAAGCTTTCTCTGAAAGGGAAATATGTTGCGATATTGTGCGGTAGTTTGTTTTTAGCAGAGGTTCAGTCACCCGACCCTGATAGATCGTTTTGTAAAATCTCCTTTGATTCTATGAGAATAATTGGTTCATTCCATGAAAAATAATGTTTTTAATCAATGCAACAATTTTGTAGTCTTTACTCGTATTGAAAATTACACAACATTTAATGAAGAACGGGAAATGTGGACGGCGAAGTTCTCCAAATTTTTGGTATAGATAGAAGAATAACCCTAAAAAATTCTAAACAACGAAATTCTTCAAAATTTTCCTTTTAAAGGTAATGTATCAGATCTCCCTTTCTCCTCATCTCTCCTTAATATGCATAGCCATGCGCTTGAAATTTGTGTCTTTGTTGTGGTAATTGAAGCATGGTTGTAATCTAATCAAACGTCTTGCAAAGGAGCCTCCTACACATTGGACTGCATGTATTTTCCTTTCTATGCTTTGTGTGAACGAATGGACTACTAGTAAAGTACTTTTAACTCGAAGGAATAAAGGAGAGCTTTTTCTCATTTTTGCATGGAGAAAAGACATTCCATTTTCAAAAAAAAAATCCACTACTAGATTCCTTCAACTTATCTGACCCAATTATAAAAAAAATTAAAATGTATTCCTTTTCATCTTTATTTTATAAAATGGTCCAACTCCAACCAAGTCATTTCTTTTTAAGCAATCTTTGTCTTGCTTTTTGAAAATTCGTTCATGGATTCGTTAATATATATAAGAGTTGTATATGCAAATGACCATACTCTAATATTTATTTAGGTAATTATATGATAAATATCTGAAAATACTCTTTTGGTTCATGAACATTTGGTGCTATTTTCTGAATCATGTGACATCAAATAAAACTGAATGTTATCGTGTAAATTAGCCTGCAACAATAACTATATTTGTTTACCCAAAAACAAGTTGCCCCCCAATGGTCACATATCCTTTTACTAAATTGCAATGGATTTGCGGTGGACAACATTTTATTTGTCTATTCAAATTAGTTAGTCTTAAATAAATTTGCAACAAAATTTATATGATTCTTAACAAACCAAAAACAAAAATTATATGGTTATTAATTTGGG